TTACATGTACTAGATGGACAAACATTTACAGTTTGAAAATACCAAGTCAAGTGTTAGCAAGGATGTGAACAACCACTGTTAGGAGTATAAAGTGTTCAACCACTTTGGAAAACAATCTGGCAATATAATGCACATGTGAACCATTTTATACTATAGCCCAGCAATTTTATTCCTAGATATATACTCCGCATAAAAATTCTTGCACACATGTATTGAAAGACCTTTCTAGAATGTTCATAAAAGCAGTAAGCAACAAACTGGAAATGTAAATGTCTACCTAAAAATGGATAGAAATAAATTATGATATATTTATACAATGGCAATACAATCTTGAGAACAAATGAGAGTTACAAGAGAGTGGATGAATCTTGGAGTAAAAAGCAAGATTGAAAGACTAGACACATGTTGTAACAATTTTACACTTATTAATATATAAAATAAAAACTGTATTATTTGTTGATATGTCTATGTGTATTAATAATACAACTATTTAGAAACCAAGAGAATGGAAAATCAAAAATCCAAGATGATAGAAGGAACACTAGGGTGGCTTCAAGGGTCATGGCAATATTTTCCTTATGTTTGCTTCATAATATATAGATTTGTCACTTATTATTTGGTATATCTCAAATATTTTGTATACTATGAATATGATATAATAGAACAAGACAAATATTCTCATAGAAATTGCTACCTATACGGTTAAGTTTCTGCCAGGAAGTACATGATGACCGAAGACAGAGATTCCAGACAGACCCTGTGGTGTCTACCTGACTTTCCCTCTTCCTAGCTTCCTGAGCCTGGAAAAGTTACTGAAGTGCTCTGTGTCTCAGTTTTCACATCTGTAAAAGGGGAGCGCTGAAAGAAATTATGTTTATTTTGGTCATCGTGAGGATGAAATGCATTTATAAATGTAAAGCATTTAGAAAAGTGCCCGGTCCGTGGCAAGCTGTGTGTCTGCTGTCATCTTCATCACTCTGGGGACTGGATGCACAAACTGTCCTAGTCTCAGCTTACTTATTTTCACAATGGGATCATTGGATTATTGTGAAATAATAAATATAAGAAAAATGACATTGTGCAAAGAACTCATTAGATAGTAGATGAAATACAATTGTAAAGATTTGACTCAGTGTCATGGATTGCCTGTATTTGGTTTTGAAATGAAAGAACTAGTCACATGGCAAAGAACTAAAGATGCTACTCCTTGAGATGATTTATGTAGTGAGCAATGACCTTCTTGTATGTGGAGCTAGCCGTGGCATGTACTAGCTTTTTACTAACATCCCTGTTGGAATTCAGTTTGAAATCCTGGTATAACATCTCTCTTAATATTTTATTAAATTACATTTTGAAGTTATATTATTTCTGAAAATATGGGTAAGTCTATAATCCTATCCAGTCAGAGGAAAGCATATTTTGCAGTTTCACATAGTGACTTCCAGCCCTTTTTCTATGTTTAAAAATTGAAATTGAGATCACACAATTAAATAATTAGGTGGAAGAGCAGACAATGTGGGAGCGGAATTCCAGAGTGTCCACATGTTCGAAAAGGCAATGGCTATGGTGAATGCAGAGGTCCGAACCAGCAGCTACTCACCTTTGCTGACATACCATTTTGCCCTCTGCAACCAGGTGCTCTTCCAAAACCAGGTGCTGGCCAGGTGGGGTGACTCAGGAGCCTGGGATACTCCACCTGAGGTACCTTTTCTCAAGAGTTCTTTTCCCTCATATTCTGATAGAGATAAAACCATTTTAGATGTGTTTCATGGAAACAAAAGGTTGGGGGGGATATTTTATTTTTAAGATAAATATACGGTTAATTTTTATAGACCTTCGGTAACCATCAGTTGAATTCTCAGCAGCTTAATTAAGCTGTCACGTTTAAGGCAGGCTGTACTCATCTCATTTAGCCTCCTCTTTGTAGTTGAATCACAGAAGTCAGAGCCCAAAATGTCTTTGCCTTTTTTGCGTGTGGTATAGCATTTGTCAATATTAAATTTAATTTGTGCTAAGAGCAGCTCACCAACAGTGAGAAAACAAAGCTTGCTGAACTTCATTTTGTGAGTTCAGAACAGCCAACATAGCGAACCTAATGAATTCAGCAATATTATTCTACTGAATCTAGGTCAACTCTGTTGATTAAAAATGTTATAGGTTTAAGGACTGACCCTATAAAAACCCACTTAAAATTTAACTATTTTACCACCTATTCTGCCTCTTGTACTTCTTACATGGAAGGATATATACCAATTACCAATCCAATGGGCCAACATTAATATGTCATCATTAACAACAGACCTTTATTGAGCGCCTATTGTGTGCAAGGCACTGTGCTAGGCATGGGGCTACAGAAACAAAGAAGAAAGCAGTCCCTGCTCTCAAAGAGCTTACAATCTAATTAGACTAACAGGACACACACATAAAAAGACAAAAGACAATCCAAGGTAGCATATAATATTGGGTCACTGAGTAGAAACAAACAAGATTGCCACCTATTTTTTTTTTTTTTCATTTCTATGGTGGCTCAATACCCTGAATGGGTGGGGATGAGGGAGCTGGAATAAAAGGGTTCTCCTGTTCATGTATAATCTGTGTAGATACTCTCTCATCTTTTCCACTCCAAAGTATCTTCTGGCAAGTGCTACAACCTAGGCCACTGGTTCACTTTTACCCCAATGACCTTGTATTGTAGTTCTCATTGAGGTGGACTTTTGATAGGATAGCCCACTGTTCTGGCTTTCCTGGGGCTGTCTGGAGTTTAGTACAAAATGTCCAAATTTTGAAATTCCTCCCCTTTTCTCCTCCCTTGGCCCTGGAGAAACCAGGACAGTATTTCTGAACTACCTGTTCCTGCAGCTCTCCCACCTACTATGGCCATTACCCTGGCAGGACTCACCCCAAATCTGTTCCCCAGTTAGGTCTCTAGTTTAAAAATCTACAAGGAAGACTGTAACAAGCCCCCAAAGACTGCTGGTTTAAGAGCACAATGTAGACAAAAGAAGACATCAGGAGAGAATGACAGCAAAGACAAAACGAGGTTTAAGAGAGAAGCAGTGAGCATGCAAGTAAGACATGATTGGGTGGGGAATGAAAGACATAAGTGTTAACATCACCTCCTAACACAGAGAGAGAGGGAACACAGGCCCTTCTCTGAGTAGGTCTGTTTAACAACTTGAATCATCACGCCAGTGGAATCCAGGGTATATTTCTGAAATGAGGTCACTCCTACCTAAGCGAAGATATTTGGGCTTATTAAATAGGTACATATGCGTTTAAATAACACTCTCATTCCTAATAGAATTTCAACATTTTCCTTCCTTATAAATACCTTTACCATCTAAATCAATAATTTTAATTTTGAGGTGAGTTTTTATTTCAAAATGAGGGAATAGCCTTCCACTTTTAATGTAATTCAAATAAATCGGTAACAGAGAGAACCTCAGAAAACAAAGGGAATCTGTCTTGAGTGGTCTTGTTTGGAATCTGATACACATATCCAGTAGCAACCTAAGGATTCCAAGGAACCTCATAGAAATTTCTCTTTTAAGTACAGGACTTTGTGTTTTGCTTTCATTTATTTTTTGGAGAGAAGCTCCAGGTCTGCAATATTAGGATCTTGGAAGTTCCTGCATGGCTCTGGTTTTATGTCTGGCCCTTAGGAGCACATCCCGGGGTTAGTGAAACACAAGGGCTTAGTTACCAAACACCCATTAACCATAATGGAAATCACACAGCGAAGGCCCCACGCTGCACACTGAATATTTACCTCCTAATGTTCTTTTAATGTATGTTTTCTTGGGTGAATATTTACTGTAGAATATTAAATGCAAGATTCTTCTTTTTATGGGCCATTTGAAGTGATTGATTTTGTTTGTGCATTCCTGTATCCTTGCCCATAAAGGCTATCTATTGTAATGGCCTCTATTCAAATGTTCTTGTGTTGAAATAACAGACGCCACGGACGGGCCAGCCGTGGCTTTGAGTTGCTTCGGTCTTAAAAGCTAGGAGGAAGCTGATGACAAAGCTGGGGAGAGAGGGAAAAGGTATATAACATAATGAGTACAACTCAGGCTTCAAATATAATCGGATATTGAAATCACTGAGGTCTGTAAACGTGGTTTGTAGTTTTTTTATATCAGAGCTGATTTTAATGGCGTTGCACTGTGTTAAAAATGATAGTCATGAAATGATTTGGCAAGATAGTTCAAATGCTCATAACCAGGTCCAATAGCACAACTTATCAGAATTCTAGGTATTTCCTTTAAATGCTATAATAAAACCACTGACCAAGTAATAATTTCTTACATATTTACACCATATTTTTAAAAAATATAAATTCACATACATATCCTAGCTACATGTAGATTTAAAATATTTCCCAACAAAGCCAGGAATTTTAGAATTCCTTTGATTTACACTCTTTTGAGTATTTGAGAGGGGAAAGTTTCAAAAAAGATGGAGCTATCATATATTCTTGAAAAAAAAAACAAAAACAAAACCCCTAAAACCTAAAGATAACATAGACATTTGAGATTATTATTGGATTCGGTAATATAGCTACATTTTTGCATGTCCCGAGTATGCCTTTCCGAATTTTCATAAAAATAAGACTTGTTAAAGAAGCTATTTACATCTGAGCAATATAATCTCTTCAAGTGATAGGAAATGTGGCCTATGTTCTTATGATTTTTGGTAAGTTCATAAAGTATTGTTTGTTCAGAGTCCGTGCTGTAGAAGAGATTGTGCTGGAAGAAAATTCCTTTTGTCTTCTTAAAAAATTGGGAAAATTTAAGAACACATTCCAATATATCTTGGACAGACATTTCAATTGTACTGCCTTTTTACAGCTCAAGCCACACCACAATAATACCAATATTGTTTTTGCTATATAAGTATCTGGACTGTGTTTGCATCTCAGTAACAGTACTCCATATAATTAATAGTACTAGTGCAAGAGAATGGAATTTTAGTACTTCATAAGGAAAAGGAAAAGATGGTAACTTGAGAAACCTTCTTTAATCACAAACCAGGTCATGTTTTGTAAAACAACATCAGTCTCCATACATAATATTTGCTGGTGCCTTCAAATTTGGCATTAGAGAAATTAATTCCTCCTAAGCCATGAGTAAAGAAAACATTGATATATTTTTTAAAAGACTATTTTTGAACAATATTACTTGCATAATTGAAATCTTCCATACTAGCTGATCTTGGCTTTGAATAAAATAAGTCCTTTATACTCCTGAAGACCAGGGAACGGCAGTGAATATAAGATTTGCAGTGAGTGAATCTGAATAGTTCATAGGATAAATGAGTCATGTGATGGAAAAATCTTGGGTTCTCTTCTCACAGATTCACAGAGGTGTAGGTCCTTGTTGTATTCAGAGAACAGCATGAAAGTTCTCCCTCCTGCCTCACTCTCTCACAGGGAATAGGATGAAAGTCTCCCCCGGCAGTCCCCCCTCGCCTGCTGCAATACACATACATTCTCTCCCACTCTTTTGGTGCAAAAAGCACCAGAGAATCAGGGAATGGATTTTTGCCTATGGGGTCCAGGGAGGAGGCATTTTTAAACCACAAGGGGGAGCTAGGTAGTAGGGAAAGTGAAAGTGTTAGTCGCTCAGTCGTGTCTGACTCTTTGTGACCCCTTGAACTGTAGCCCACCAGGCTCCTCTGTCCATGGAATTCTCCAGGAAGAATACTGGAGTGGTTTGCCATTTCCTTCTCCAGGGGATCCTCCCAACTCAGGGATTGAACCTGAGTCTCCTGCATTGAAGGCAGATTCTTTACTGTCAGCCACCAGGGAAGCCCCTAGGGAGATATAAAAGGCCCCCTAAAATAAGGCTCCTGCGACCGCAGGAGCCCCATCATTCCAAGTATAAAGTCCTTATGTAGACCAACGAGATGCTCACTGGGAGAATTTCAGATCTGGCATGAAACTTAAGTGATGTCACTGTCCTCGGGTACAGTGACATCACTTTGCAGAAGAGCAAAATAGGGCTTAAATGGAGTGACCTACATTAATTATTACCCAAGCCAACTGTCTTTCAGTTTCTGTTGTTGGCCTGTTTTTTGTTTGAACAACACAGTTTTTGGTTTTCAATATTGTCATCTGGAGCATTTCTGCATGTTGGAAAATATCATAGTTGCTTTCGAAGCCCAAGGGTTCAAAAAATGCAGTGCAATGTTTCCAAGTCATATACTGCTTGCTAACAATGAGCACTATGAACACGGTAGTTCATCTCCCAGTTCTGGGCCTTTTCCAGTTATCATTCCGGATTAAATAATTAGGACAGATAAATTACCACATAATCATAATCTATAAAAATACTGGCCTAGCGCACACTAAAAAACTCTCAATAAATAAATATTGGGCATTTGCTTATGAAAGTGAAGATGTACTCTTCAGAAATCATGTCCATATTTTCAAGGCTGCTCTTTATAAATCACACATACAGAGTCCAACAGATAACAAAGGTTATAGTTCAGGTTAGGATACAATTTGATAGAAAAATGACTTTAGAGGTGGTATTTCTACAAAGGGATACATCTAATGCTGAGTTGTTTATGTCTCAGTTTCGAAGGCAATACTTAAAAAGATCCTACACACTTTTTGCCATGGCAGCATCGCTGAAATGCGCATTTGGCTCCTAAGGTAACCCCTTTAGAAAGGGACAACACTCACTAGGATGTATTAATTCTGGAATCTTCCCTTATAGACCAACTGCACTACTTGTAGTCATGCCTCAGAGGCATCTATACATGGTACCTCTTGAGGAGGAAGCTGTTCCTGTAACCAGTTCTGTTCCTCTTTCGTGTCTGGTGTTTTAGGAAGTTCAGTGGCCCAGTGGTTGATACAGTGGGGTTCTTAGGATTTCCGTCTGGCCACACACATTCCTCAGAACACAGGTTTAGTCTCAGGATGACTTAAAGCAAGAGATTCTGGTTTCCAGTCTGGTTGAAAAAAGTGAATATTGAATGTCCGTGCCCAGTTCTTAAAGACTCGTTTCTCTGTGATAAAGCGGTGATGACTACCCTTCCGTCCTCGCTCATGGGACAGGTACATTGTACATTCATCAGGTCCAAAAGGTTCATAATAGTGATAAGGTACTGAAAGGTGGTTGGGATCCCTGTAGGAGGAAAATGAAATAACAGATTAAAACCATGGGGGTGGGGGGGAAACACCTTTCACTGATTGAGGTAAGATGTTATCTTACCTTCCACACCTTCAAGTTAAAAATGAATTTCAACAAATGGCTTTTCTGATGTTTAAGCAGTATGCACACGGAGAAGTTCTGAAGTTGTGAAATAAAGTCAGTGACCATTGTGATCAGTGAGATTAAACATGTGCATTCAGGCTCTTAGGATTTAGAAACTACATAGTCCTAAGACCCAACTATAGTTCTGATTTCCACTCTTGCCCCCTACAGTCTGTTTAGCATAAACAGTTATGATAATATTTATAAAACAAAACCAGATCATTCTGCTTCCCCACCCCCACCCCTCTCCAAAGCCTCCAGAGGCTTCCAGCTATACTCAGAGCATGGCCTAGAGGGTGTAAGCTAGCTTCACTCCAGAGCCTCTCCTAACCTACTCAGCCTTGTCTGCTACGCTCCTAGCTTACTTGCCTCTCCGGTGGTCAACTCTGCCAAGCTGGTCCCTCCCCTGAGGTCATGGGTCTTGAGGGCAGTTGCCTGGCTGGTACATCCCCTCAGTTAACTCCTTCTCATTGCTGGGGATTGACACCTGTGTATCATCCTCAGAGAACCCTTAACCAATGCCTGCCCCCTTCTCTCCATCTCACTTGGATTTATTTTCTTTCTTTTTGTTTTTTTAAATATTTATTATCGGCTGTGCGGGGTCTCAGCGGGATCTTTACTTGCACACTAGCTCTGAGTTGCAGTGTGTGGGCTCCAGTCCCCTGACCAGGGATTGAACCCAGGCCTTGTGCACTGGGAGCATGAAGTCTTGCCTGAACCACCAGGGAAGTCCCTGGATTTATTTCCTTATGGCATGAATCGGTTTCTGAAACTGCTGTTGTTGTTTACGTGCTTCTTGTCTACTCACGAGAATAGGCCTTTGTCTTATTCCTAGCAGGTGCTCCATATCCCTGTCTCTATATTCTGCCTCAAAGTAGAAATACTGGCTCTTTCTTAAAGGTAATGTGAACAGGATTAACATGAGGGGTGGTGGGTGCCCTAATGTTGGATTACTGAAATATCTCACCCTCTTAGAGCTCTGGTCTCAGACCAGTTTCCATTCTAGGCCAGTCCACTCCACCTCTTCTGTGTTGAAGTCTAAGTGATAAGAGCACTCAAGATATCCCAGTAGATTACCCTTCCTACTTTGACTTATACTCACCAACCAGCCTTGCTGCAGAAACTAAGTTTTTCTTGTCCCTTTTATGGCTTCTCTTAAAAGGCATCCCAGCTTCCTGCAAACCACCTTATAGCACCTGATGCCCTAGGGCCCCCCTCCCAGCACTCGGCTCTATTCTAAGTACAGTAGCTTGGTTTCCCAGAGATGCTCATCCTGCTAGGTACCTATATGCTTTCTTCAGAGGAGATCAATACACAAATGGCTTTTAGAGTAGCAACTTCACTGAGGTCAGGGATCGAAGTCTTTTATCAAGAGGGGTGTTGAGTTTGTGGCCCTGACAGCAATAAACCTTTGAGCTTCCTCTCCTCTGAGGTTAAAGTTCTTCCAGGAAGAGAGATTTATTTTTGTCATGCACCATTTAAACATTCCTCATCCTGGGTTGGATGCTATGCTGAGTTAATACTTTGCATCTCTATTATGCTTGTCTCGGAAGTACTTCTGTGTTTTATATTAAGACCTCAGATCCTGCCCTATCTAGTTATTATAGAATTCACTTCATATTTATTTCTCTGGTGGCTCGGACAGTAAAGAAGCTGCCTGCAATGCAGGAGACCTAGGTTTGATCCCTGGGTCAGGAAGATCCCCTGGAGAAGGGAATGGCTACTCACTCCAGTATTCTTGCCTGGAAAATTTCATGAACAGAACTTTGGCAGGCTACAGTCTGTAAGTTGCAAAGAGCTGGACCCAACTCAGCGACTAACACTTTCACTTATTTATTGCCCTAGAAATTAGAATCCCCTTCAAATTTTACTAGAAGTTGTTTTCAACACAGAAAGTGCATGGTAGGAAAAATTCAAGTTGGAACTGACCAGTATGAAGAAAATAAAAAAGAAATAAAAAGTTGTGAGACATATCTTTCCTAGATTCATATGGCATAATTTGGGGAACCATGCTAAATATATGTCACCGTAGTAGACTTGGGGTTAAGTTTTTACTCCAGTATGCATCAGGTTTTAAATCTGATTCAGCTAAATTTTGAGCATATTATTGGCATCAGTATGACTAAAGAAACAATCAGGTTTCTAAAAATATCATGAGATTGATTTGGCACCTAGGAATAGAGGGAAATTGGAAACCAGCTAAAGGACGCTGTAGGTTCAATTTCCTTATTCAGGAAGACCATCTCCTTGAATGAAAACACATCTGGCTCCCTGCTGATCTCCTCAAGGGAGAATTAAATTTACATCTTTGGTTATTATGGTTTCAAAGGGGTCCAAATAAGTGGGGGTTGTCTTCACACTTTAAAACTTTGTCCCAATGGCAAAAAAGTGCTTGATGGGATTTATTATAGAAGGCAGAGCCAAAGCAACTGCAGGAACAATCTTCCTGTAGATTGTCAGCCTGCTGTGAGCTGTCATCCACTGTGCCATTCTGAAAGGCCTTCCTTCAGAAAATTTAAGGTTATAATTCCTCAAGTTTTTCTCAAGCTTGACTTTCTATAAGCTGCTATAGGTTTTCTCCCCCTCCACCTGATCCAAATGAATACAACAATAAGAATCAGCAGAATTTCTACATCAGGAGGCTACTGTTGTAGAAGGGAGGATTCTGGCATCCAAGTTGCTGGTGGGGCCAGGGGTGCTTAGGGAGTGAAGGTGTGCGGGTGGGAGGGCCAGGGTGATTACAGAGCCAGTTTCTTCCCTCAGTGGCTGCAGCCTGTCATCAGCCCCCAGGGGCCAGTGTGGGAACAAAATCCTGTAGAATAATGTGAAGAGGGAATTTTTTTTCTTTACAGAGAAACCAGGTGGGGAGGATAAAAGAACTAATGTTTAGTGCACAGGAGGAGCTTTAAAGAAATACCACTGCCTGTGCTCCACCTCCACAGAGTCTTGTTTAATTGATTTGGAGAGGGTCCCAGGCATAGGTATTTTGAAAAGTGACTTGGTTTTGTGTATCAAAATAAATAATGGCAGTATTGAATTGTTAAGTCCCACAAAGTAAAATAGAATAAATATCTATGAGTCCATGATGATTTCAATAAATTACTGATTAAATAAATGAGGGAGAAGAAAAAGCATTTCCTTGCAGTATAATTCCAATTAATACTCTAGAAAAAAATGAGGGAGTAGAAAAGCGCCATTAGAATAATGCAGTAATTACCGCAGGCAAGATGCATGAATGAATGGAATATGAGAGAGGGAAAGATGAGAAATAGATTATTTGCATAAAGCACCCCCCCCAAGGTATTTAATGACAAAAGGAAGAAATAGTAAATTGACAATGAGTAAACCCAGCAGATGACACCATACCCAAGTGACCAAGGTTAACATCACCAGTAGTAAGATATTTTGAGATCATGTACCTCTTGACACGAGATGCAACTGCTTCTGTGGCATCCTTCTCAGTAATGCATAACCTCAATCTAATGATGAGAAACTATCACACAAATCCAAAGCAATGAATATCCTACAGTAATGAGCAGAATTCTTCAAATGTGTTGGAGTCATGAAAGATATGGAAAGACTTAGGAACTGTCACAGACCGGAGGAGACTAAGGAGACATGATAAGCAAATGCAAAGGGAGTCTGGATTGGGTCCTGGAGGAGACAAAAGAAATCAGTAGAAAAAATGGTGAAATCTGAATAAAGCCTGCAGTTTAGCTGAGAGTACTGCACCAGTGTTAATGTCTTACTTTTGAGAACTGCACCAGAATATTAACTTTAGGGGAGCAGGATGAAGGATATACAGAAACTCTCTTGTATTTTTGCAACTTTTTCTGTAAGTCTAAAACTTTTTCAAAACAAAAAAATTTAAAAAGATAATAATGTGGGACTTTCCAGGTGGTCCAGTGGTTGGGAGTCTGCCTTGCAATGCAGGGGCTGTGGGTTCTATCCCTGGGTGGGGGGCGGGGGGTGAACTGGGATCCCATATGTCATGGAGAAACTGGGCTGGACACTGCAATGACTGAGCTCGCGTATGGCAACTAGAGAGCCTGCACGCTACAGCGAGAGATCTCCTATGACTCAGCAAGGACCTCACGTGCCACAAGTAGGACCCAACGCAACCAAATCATAAATAAATAAGTATTTTTAAAAACAGTGTTCATGCTCAGTTGTGTTCATCTTTTTGCGAGCCTGTGGGCTGTAGCCCGCCAGGCTCCTCTGTCCACAGAATTTTCCAGGTGAGAAAACTGGAATGGGTTGTCATTTCTTCCTCCAGGGCATCTTCACAACCCAGGGATCAAATCAGAATCTCCTGAGTCTCCTGCATTGCAGTCGGGTTATTTACCACTGAGCCCACGGGGAAGCACCTTTTAAAAGGTAAATGTTATAAATTTCTGTAGGACAGCCTAACATGCAGCCAGGTTGAAGGTGGCTGATTTAATTAAATCCCTGCCAAATCAGAGCTTCAGTTCAGTTTGGTTGCTCAGTTATGTTCCACTCTTTGCAACCTCATGGACTGCAGCACCCCAGGCTTCCCTGTCCTTCACCAACTCCCAGAGCTTGCTCAAACTCATGTCCATCAAGTTAGTGATGCTATCCAACCATCTCATCCTCTGTCGTCCCCTTCTCCTCCTGCTTTCAATCTTTCCCAGCATCAGGGTCTTTTCAAATGAGTCAATTCTTTGCATCAGGTGGCCAAAATATTGGAGTTTCAACTTCAGCATCAGTCCTTCCAATGAATACTCAGGACTGATTTCCTTTAGGATGGACTGGTTTGATCTCCTTGCAGTCCAAGGGACTCTCAAGAGTCTTTTCCAGCACCACAGTTCAAAAGCATCAATTCTTCTGCACTCAGCTTTCTTTATGGTCCA